TTAGAAGTATCACTTTTTTTCAATTTAGTATTGAAAAAACCGTGAAAATTCGCTAACGAACGATACTAAAATTTTGTCTATATTCCTCATAAAATTTTAACTATTTAGAAAAAATCTTTAAAGAATATGCCATTATATAGAAAAAAGTTTGCTCTTTCGTTTGGAATTGACCGATGTTCGAAATTCGGCTTAGAAGTATCACTTTTTTTCAATTTAGTATTGAAAAATCCGTGAAAATTCGCTAACGAACGATACTAATATTTTGTCTATATTCCTCATAAAATTTTAACTATTTAGAAAAAATCTCTAAAGAATATGCCACTATATAGAAAAAAGTATGCTCTTTCGTTTGAAATTGACCGATGTTCGAAATTCGGCTTAGAAGTATCACTTTTTTTCAATTTAGTATTGAAAAAACCGTGAAAATTCGATAACGAACGATACTAAAATTTTGACTATATTCCTCATAAAATTTTAAATATTTAGAAAAAATCTCTAAAGAATATTCATTATATAGAAAAAAGTATGCTCTTTCGTATAGAAAAAAGTATGCTCTTTCGTTTGGAATAGATCGATTTTCGAAATTCGGCTTAGAAGTAGAAAAAAGTATGCTCTTTCGTTTGGAATAGATCGATTTTCGAAATTCGGCTTAGAAGTATCAAAAAAGTATGCTCTTTCGTTTGGAATAGACCGATTTTCGAAATTCGGCTTAGAAGTATCACTTTTTTTCAATTTAGTATTGAAAAAACCGTGAAAATTCGCTAACGAACGATACTAAAATTTTGTCTATATTCCTCATAAAATTTTAACTATTTAGAAAAAATCTCTAAAGAATATGCCATTATATAGAAAAAAGTATGCTCTTTCGTTTGGAATAGACCGATGTTCGAAATTAGGGCTTAGAAGTATCACTTTTTTTCAATTTAGTATTGAAAAAACTGTGAAAATTCGCTATCGAACGATACTAAAATTTTGTCTATATTCTTCATAAAATTTTAACTATTTAGATAAAATCTCTAAAGAATATGCCATTATATAGAAAAAAGTATGCTCTTTCGTTTGGAATTGACCGATGTTCGAAATTCGGCTTAGAAGTATCACTTTTATTCAATTTAATATTGAAAAAACTGTAAAAATTCGCTATCGAACGATACTAAAATTTTGTCTATATTCTTCTTAAAATGTTAACTATTTAGAAAAAATATCTAAAGAATATGCCATTATATAGAAAAATTATGCTCTTTCGTTTGGAATAGACCGATGTTTGAAATTCGGCTTAGAAGTATCACTTTTTTTCAATTTAGTATTGAAAAAACCGTGAAAATTCGCTAACGAACGATACTAAAATTTTGTCTATATTCCTCATAAAATTTTAACTATTTAGAAAAAATATCTAAAGAATATGCCATTATATAGAAAAAAATATGCTCTTTCGTTTGGAATAGACCGATGTCCGAAATTCGGCTTAGAAGTATCACTTTTTTTTAATTTAGTATTGAAAAAACCGTGAAAATTCTCTAACGAACGATACTAAAATTTTGTCTATAATCCTCATAAAATTTTAACTATTTAGAAAAAATCTCTAAAGAATATGCCATTATATAGAAAAAAGTATGCTCTTTCGTTTGGAATTGACCGATGTTCGAAATTCGGCTTAGAAGTATCACTTTTTTTCAATTTAGTATTGAAAAAACCGTGAAAATTCGCTAACGAACGATACTAAAATTTTGTCTATATTCCTCATAAAATTTTAACTATTTAGAAAAAATCTCTAAAGGATATGCCATTATATAGAAAAAAGTATGCTCATTCGTTTGGAATAGACCGATGTTCGAAATTCGGCTTAGAAGTATCACTTTTTTTCAATTTAGTATTGAAAAAACCGTGAAAATTCGCTAACGAACGATAC